AAACTACTGAAACCTGCACCCCATACCGTGCCACAACCTCCCTGATGTAAATGTCATCCAATTTCTCCGCAGAGATACTCTCTTGAATCAGAATGAAATGGGCGCTCTTGGTCAATCGATCCACGAAGACCCATATTGAATCCACTCTACATGATGTTCGTGGCAATTTCGTGATGAAATCCATAGTAATCTCTTTTCATTTCCAATCGGGAATGTCTAACGGGTGCAAATTTCCTTGAGGCCGCTGATGCTCGGCCTTGACTTTCCTATAAGTCAAGAATCTCTCCATATATCAGGCCACATCTTGCCTCATGCATGGCCCCCAATAATGAAGCCAGAGATCCCTATACATCTTTTTTGCTCCGAGATGAATAGAGAATCTGGACTTGTGCGCCTCCTTAATAAAAACCTGGCGCGAACATCCCAAATATAGAACCCACATCCTCCGATGAAGGTTCAATAACACCTGACTATCATAATCAAGGGAAGCCACCTGAGCCTCTTGTATATGCTCTAAAAGTGGAGTAATCACCGTCATCCTCAAACACATATCCCTGATCGGAGCCACGACTGCCTTGCGACTGAGAGCATCGGCCACCACGTTGGCCTTCCCCGTTTGATAAAGGATCTCACAATCATAATCCTTGACCACATCCAACCATCTATGCTACCTCATGTTCATATTTGGTTGATCTATCAAATACCTCAGGCTGTTGTGATCCGTGTAGATAGTACAGCGGACCACATAGAGGTAATGTCGCCAAATCTTGAGGGCGGACACCACAGTCCCCAACTCCAAATCATGCGTAGGATAATTCGCCTCATGAGGCTTTAGCTACCTCGAAGTGTAAGAAATCACATGACCCCGTTGCATCAACAATGCTCTCAAACATATGATCGACACATCACAATATACCAGAAAAACCTCAACACCCTCTGGCAGGGTCGAAATCGGAGTCTCACATAACCGCTGTCTTAGAGTCTCAAATGTTGCCTACTACTCAGGCCCCTAATGAAACGTGACGGTCTTCTTCATCAACCGAGTCAAAGGAACCGCTATCTTGTAGAAATCCTAAATAAATCTCCGAAAGTAACCTGCCAATCCAAGGAAACTCCGAATCTCAGGTGGTGACCTCGGAACCTCCCTCCTCATCACCGCCTCGACCTCGGCTGAATCGACCATAATATCATTCTGGTTGAAAAGGTTCCCCAAAAAACTGCACCTCGCACAACTAGAACTCAAACTTGGAGCCCTTCTCATACAGTCTCTCCCTCCTCAGTGTCTCTAATACCTCCCTCAAATGCTCCTCTTGCAGCTCCTGGGTCTTAGAATAGACTAAGATGTCATCAATAAACACAATCACCGACTGATCCAACATAGGTCTGCATATGCGATTCATGAGATCCATGAATGTGGCTGGAGCATTGGTGAGCCCGAAGGGTATTACCACGAACTCGTAATGATCATAATGAGTCTGGAAGGCAGTCTTCTGCATATCCTCCTCTCTCACCCTCATCTGATGATAACCCGAATACAGATCAATCTTGGAAAACCAAGATGCACCCTGAAGCTGCTCAAATAAATCATCAATCCTCGGGAGTGAATAACAGTTATTCACCATTAGCTTATTCAGCTCCTAGTAGTCGACACACATCCGATGTGATCCATCCTTCTTCTTCACAAACAGGATCGACTCTCCATGGCAAACTACTCGGTCGGATAAATCCCTTTTCTAACAACTCCTGCAGCTGTATAGACAACTCTTGCATCTCAGGAGGTGCTAATTGATAAGGTGCTTTGGCTATCGGAGCCACACCAGGAACCAAGTCAATCCGAAACTCCACCTGCCTCTCCGGAGGCAATCCGGGAACACATCCGAATATTCCTCAACAATTGGTACATCATCCACAGTTGCCTTACCCTTCTCGCAGGTATCCATCACATAGGCAACAAATCTGGAAAAACCCTGCTGAAGGTAGCATCTGGCCCTAGTTGTTGAACATAAAATCGGCTCGCGTTGAACATCCTCTCCCTATATCTCCAACTCTCCCCCACTTGGGGTCCGGATACGCACTAACTATTGCTCGCAATCAATCATTGCCCCATTAGGGCTCAGCCACTCCATCTCCATAATAACATTTCTCTTATATAGGGGAATTGGAACCAAATCGATCGGATACCACTCGCTAAACAACTCCAAGACACAACCCCGATGAACCCTAGATACTCGCACAGGACGATCATCAGCAATCTCAACCTCTACCGCATAATCTAGCTACCCCAGAGCATCTATAAACCTCTTGATGAGCGCAATAGATTCAAAAGATCGGGTAGCCCCGAATCAAACAATACCAAAGCAGAGATATCGTTCACAAGGAACGATCCTAAAAGAAAACACATAGATATAAGCACAAAAATTAGCATAAATAAAGTGATAAGGAAAAGATACATACCCGTCACGACACCAGGCGTTGCACGAGCCTCCTCAGTTGTCAGCTGAAAAGTCATGCTCCTCACAACAGGTGCATCCGCCTTTCCCTGGCGGCCATCCGTGATCCTCAAAGTCACCAGAGCAGGAGCTGCAACTGGTCCTGCCGCTGCTAGGTTTGGACAATCGGCTTTTTATGGCCCCTCTGATTGCAATGGAAGCAAATTAGACTTGATCCCGGGGTAGTGGCTGTGGAATCCCGACTAAAGCATCCAGTCTTGCCGCATTTATAGCAGCTTGAACCACCACCCCTGCAAGCTCCATTGTGCGCCTTTCCGCACATGCCACAGCGGCCCTGGACCTGCTACCCATTCGATCTCGAATCAAAAACCTTGGGCTTCTTGCCCGAACCCTCTGAACAGTGAACCTGATATGGTTTCCTCTTCCTCTCCATCTACAAGTCAATCTCCCTATCTCTGGCTCGCGTTATCAAATCATATAGTATCTTGCAATTGTATCGGCTCACAAACTGCCTAATATCGCTCCTCAACATCTCATGGTATCTCTGATAGGTTATGAGCATAACAATAATGCTATGGTGCACAGGCAAACCCTAAAGCTTTGGATCTAGTTTTTCGAATTGTACATGCAATAATCATCCAAAACTTATAAACCCTATGTCTAGCATACAATATCGAAAATCATAACTAAAACAAAGTTAGGATGTTACCTTTCAATTGTAGCTTGATCTTTAACCTTTGAGAGCTTTAGTATCACAAGTGTAATACCTCTAATCGATCACAAACACCAAGAAGAAAGTTGGAGAATATGAGAGAGAGAGTGAGAGGAGGAGGCTCAAAATCGGCTCTAAGATCCTTTTACGGTTTCTGGTAGCCGATTTTAGGTGCCCAAGGGGTTCCTTATATAGCTGAAGAATTAGGGTTTCAGTCAAATACCTAATATGGTTGCTTAAGCCCTAAGCAGCCCATAGGATCCTTCCAGAACCTTATGCTTGGACGAAATCCTTATGGGCTTCCATAAGATTTCATCAATCTCTTATCTAAGAGATCCTCAACCCATTTTGCCACTATCTTATAATTACAATATCAGTCCCTAAATTTAATTAATCTCTTTTGACCACAAAATTAATTCTAAATTAATTCTTGACCAATATCAATTAAATAATATGATTTCTCTTTTAATATACTATTCGCATAATATATTAGTAAATCATAATTAACCTCTTTCTCCAGAATTCATCCAGTCAAGTTGCTTTGGTGAAGGCAACCCAAAAGGACCATGCTACTATCGGGTCAAGTACATACCAAATATAGTTATGGGCTTAGACACCTAATCCAACAGTCTCCGACTTAGATAAGTCTAATAACTATAAATACAGGTACGAATTCAAAATCCGATTATCAATCGTAGCTCTCAAAAGCCGTTGTCGAACTCTGACACGTCCTATAGATAAAGGATCATGTAGTCCTCAATTCTCCAGATATCATGTGGACAAATACATGGAACATAGTCATACTTATTGTCCAGTAGTTTGTTTTCCCGATTTCTGATTTGTATGACATAGAAGTTAATTAAACACATCAACTTAGTCCTGACCGGGCCCGACACATAAGTCAAACCAAATCATCGAGGGGCCCAAGATATCGCTTTTAACCTTGTAGGATAAAAGGAACAAATAAACTTCGACTTATATGCTTGCACTATTTACTCATCAAATCGTACACAACAATACGTTTTATAACATCAAGTTACTGATGCGTTTACACATTCTCAATGCACAACCAACTCATAAACAACAACTTATATATCTAGGTTTAAAGACTATATGATATTATCGTCTCACAATCACTCGTGATTAGTTCCATGAAGTGATTCATGTGAGCGAGGGTTTAATCTGATACTCAAATCTTATTTCAGGAGCACTCATGAACATTGCAGCAAAATTTTGCTATGTCTAAACGCATAGACGATCTACAAGCCAATTCATGACAGCCACTACTAGAAAAACAGCCTTTTACGACGCGCAATTTACGACACGCACTAATTTATGTTACGCAAAAGAGAGCGTCCTTAAAATAGCGTCATCTCTTCAAAAATTTTAAGGATTTACGTCACGCATTATTGTGTGCCCTTAATTTAGTGTCTCAACAAAAAAAATTAAAAACACGGAGGGCGCTTTATCTTAAACGTGCGTCGTCTATACCTGTCGCTTTATAATTTTAATGAAACTCGCGTTTAATAGACAAGGGGGGAAACGAAATCCCTGAAATTTTGAAAACCCGCCTCGTTCTTTCTACATTTTATCTATCTTTCATCTTCGCAATCGACTCTCCTCTCTGATACTCTCTCCTCTAGATCTCCCTTCATTTTCTGCCTCCCATCTCCCTGTAAACCCTAAGCCGTCGCCACCTCCCTTCTCTCTACCACGTGCTAGGGTTTTATTTTCTTCCAAGCTTCCGCTTCTCTGGAACTGGTGTTTTGTTTTGACTTTTTTCGATTTCTTTGGAACTGGCGTTTCACTTGGCGTTTCCTTTCAGCAAGTCGTTAACCATGGCTTTGCAGATTGCGAGACGTTTCCTCCAAATCCACACAGCAGATGAGGTATTCACAACCACCTTCAGGAACCCTACCAACAGGCTTTTCTCGCCGACCGATCGGAGCTATTCTTCTAGCTCCTCCGATCTCATTCGCGCCACTCTCTTCCCCGACGACGGTATTGGTCCCGAGATCGCAACCTCTGTCAAACATGTTCAATTCCGCCTTCTTTATACTCAATATATTGCTAAAACCTGATCCTTGTTTGTTTAACACAGTTTTGTTATTATTATGCTGTTGTTTTCTTTCATTTTTAGGTTTTTGTTGCATAGTTTGGGGTTTAAGAATTTCGTATTATCATTCTACTGTTTAGTTGGTATAGATTCAATTTAGAATAGTAATCGCTAATCAAATTATGTATGTATGTTGAATTTTCTTTTCTCATTATGCAGATATTCAATGCTGCAGAAGAACCAATTGAATGGGAAGAACATTTCGTAGGGACAGAAGTAGATCCCAGAACCCAAAGCTTTGTCACATAGGAAAGTCTAGAATCTGTAAGAAGAAACAAGGTTGGATTAAAAGGTCCCATGGCTACAACAATTGGAAAAGGTCATCGTTCCTTGAATCTCACTTTAAGAAAACAACTAAACCTATATGGAAATGTCAGACCATGTTACAGTCTACCTGGTTACAAAACTCGATATGATGATGTGAATCTCATCACAATCCATGAAAACACAGAAGGAGAATACAGTGGTCTTGAACATCAAGTAAGTTTATATCATCTTCATATAGATTCATCATTCATGTCATACATGATACATTCAAATCAATGTTATGCAAATTCTGATCTTTCTACAGGTTGTCAGGGGAGTTGTTGAAAGTCTTAAAATCATAACATGTCATGCAAATTTGAGAGTGGCTGAATATGCTTTTCATTATGCTAAAGCTCATGGTAGAAAAAGAGTTTCTGCTATACACAAAGCTAACATCATGCAGAAAACTGATGGATTATTTCTAAAGGTATTAAATTTACATAGCTTTTACCATGTTTCATACTTTCATTACACTAAATTTTAATATTTACGATTTGATCTCACTATTAAAAATCTGATCTTTTTCCCTAAAACATTAAGTGTGGAAGGAGAGACAGAGAAAGGAGATTCACCGATGGGAGTGCCAGAAGAACCAAAGCATCAAATTTGAAGCATATGGAAAATGCATCAAATCTGAAGCATATGGTGATGCAGTGAGGTTCTACACTGGAGCCATGCCAATATTTAAGGTTATTTGATCAACTTTTCATTCTTTTGTGTTTTGTCATATCAGATGCTTATAAACCCATGCAATTCATTTATCTTTTTGCTCTGTATGTTGAACTTTCACCAGGCATATAGGGACTCCTCATTGCAGGATTGTAAGAAAGCATCTGAAGAAGTAATTCCAGTTATCATTAACCAGATTCAGGTATATTCATGGTTAATTTATTTCTGATAATATTATTCAGATCCTTATATAGCCGTTTCGCATATATGTCTTTTAGGATAAGGTTTCTTCTGAATCTGAATGAATACAAGCAAGAGCGGAGGCTGTAATGCTTCTTAAGAAGTTAGATTTTCCCATATGTAACTCGTGATGTCCGATCATTAGCCTACCCCTAGTGTACCTGAAACAGATCCATCTGAGAAACAGTGTTTGCCATAGTGCAACTATATACGCTAACGCACTTATGCATGCTGGAACAACACTGGATACATTCTTGGGGGAGAATCTGGTAATTTCACTATATCATATCTACATACTTCATCATTTTACTACTATAATAGCAACGTATGTACATTTTCTTTACACATATTTGTAACTGACTTACAAATCTTTACTCATAATAGCAAAAATGCAATCCCTAAGAAGAACATCCGTTGCTTATATTTGTAGCAAGATTTATGAGCAATTTGTAAATGTTTTATGTTTGGATACGATTTCAGGATTGGCTAAGCAGGGCGACAAATTAGGCTAAGATCAGCGCGACAGCTGGACTAGGTGTTATCCATGGAGGCCATTTACAGCAAGGAAGATCACTAATGGCACCTTACCTTCCACAAAGTGGGGCGGGTGGTGGTGGTGGAGGGGGTAGTCCCTATTCAGAAGGGGCTCCACTTTATGATCTTGGTTTAATCCATTTACAGCAAGGAATAACTATTTTATGCTCTTGAAATGGTTAATCTGCTTGACCCTAAAAAGGTTTACTTTGATTCAAGACTGATTGCTCTAACTGATTGCCCTAAAAATCATCACAAAACCCTTGATGTGGTACTTGTTCAAGAAACTGATGTTCTAATTCCTGATGATACAGAAAGAGTAAGCACTTTTACACTACATTAATTTGTACCTAAGATCTTGATTTTAGATTAAAAAAGTTTCAATTGTGGAGTAAACATGTTAAAGATCAGAAAGCATAGGGACCATTTTTGTAATTTAATTAAAAAGTTGGTTACTTTGAATATGTAGGTGTGGGGGAAGAAAGACAAGGAGAATCTTATTTTGATGGAAAGATATCATTTTTTTGCTTCAAGTTGTAAAGAATTAAGATGCAGAGGTAATAAATCATTATCTGAACTAAATGGATGATCCACTTATTTTGAGCGTTACAGTTATGACGTGCTATTGATTGAAAAGAAGGATGAAGAAGGTCAATCTTATGTTCTTTCAGCAGCTTTAGAGGTAACATACACATAAACCTTTTTTTTAATACTTAAATTAGAAAATTAACAAGGGAAAATTTGTAAAATGTTATTTTTCCTACAGATTGCAGAAGGGGAGACTTAAGAAGTTGATGCGAAATACCGAGCATTAGTGGCTATTGGATCACTGGTATGTTAAATTTGAATGAAATAAATAAGAGATTTAAAAATATGTGTGTATTATGGTATGGTGGTTTATATTTATGATAGATTGGTACTTTAAAATGTTAGCGAGGTGGGTTATGACTTTCAAGATCTATTGGAGATAGAGATGTTGGGGAGTTCATTATTCCAGTTCCTCATGTCAAACAAGTGAAGGTTATTTTTGTAATTAAACTCGATTTATTTCTCTTTTTATTAACAACTTTTATTTATTCATGATCTTCAACCATCTTCTGCTGGTAGGCGGCTTGTAATTTCAAGTGATGGAGTCTGGGATGCTCTTTCCGGTGGACAGCAGCCCAGTACAGTACACAAGGTCATGACAAACTAATGATATGGAGGATTTTTTTGACATGATATGTGAAACAAGAAGGTGCCCCTTTATAGCAATGTACTATTAGTTATATAGTTAGGGAAAACCTCTTAATAACAATGTACAATTAGATCCCTTTAATATCAATGTATTACAATTTTTTGACATGATGTTATTGGATGAAATTTATTGTTTTGGTATATATTTTTTTTCTATATTTTTGTATTATGCGTAAAAGAGTATCGTAAAGGCACGTCGTATATGCATATTGTAAATGGTTGCTGAAGTTTATGACACGCAAATGTCTGTCATCTTCATTTATGACAGTGGTTATAATGATACGCAATGCGTGTCCTAAACGCGTGTCGTAAGGTTACGACACACAAATGCGTGTCATCTTCGTTTATGACAGGGCCTTTCTTGATACGCATTGCGTGTCGTAAATGAGCGTCGTAAATGTGTGTCGTAACTGCGCGTCGTAAATGCGCGTCGTCTCTCGTTATGACAGGGCCTTTCTTGACACGCATTTGCGCGTCGTCTGAGCGTTTTACGACACGCATTGCGCGTCGTAAAAGGCTGTTTTTCTAGTAGTGAGTCTTGCCTCAATACCTACTTCCAAAGTATGATCGACTGTGGACGGTTTGAATAATCATATTATTCTGGAAGTCAAAACATGCAAAATGAAACAATAGTAAACAATTGACACAAGACAGTAACATTAATTATAAATAAAACTCCTTTATTTAATCATCAAATGTCAATTACATTTTATCTATTACAAGTTTCTAAATAGCTGTCTAATTACTAAAACTAATATTGTCCTTCAGCCTAATACTCCTAGCATGCTGCAAGTGCTTAACCCTACTAAGTCCTTTCGTAAGGGGATCTGTTGGGTTATCCTCTGACGATACCCTCTTCACTACGAGGAGTCCCTATTCTACTCGTTGTCTGATGAAGTGGTATTTTCTGTCGATGTGCCTGGATCTGCCATGATCCCTCGGTTCCTTGGTTAAGGCGGCCGCACCTTCGTTATCACAGAAAATCTGCATAGGCTCCTTTATGGCAGGTACAATTCCAAGGTCTCCGATGAAGTTCTTTAGCCATATTGCCGCCTTCGATGCTTCACTCGCTGCTATGTACTCTGATTCGCACGTCGAATCAGCTACGGTCTCCTGCTTGGAACTTTTCCATGTCACTTCTCCTCCATTCAGGGTAAACACCCATCCCGACTGAGAGCAGAAATTATCTTGATCGGTCTGAAAACTAGCGTCACTATACCCTTATACTCTCAAGTCATTACTCCCACTGAGGATAACAACCCAGTCCTTAGTCCTCCGCAGGTACTTAAAAATGTTCTTTACCGTAGTCCAATGAGCTCTACCAGGATTCCCTTTATATCTGCTGACCATGCTCAAAGCGAAGGCCACATCAGGGCGAGCACACGTCATAGCATACATGATCGACCCAACGGCGGAAGCATAAGGTACTCGACTCATTTCTGCTATCTAAACTTCGGTACTCGGACTTTGAGTCTTACTCAACTTGGTGTTGCTTTGGATTGGTAACTCTCCTTTCTTGGAATTCTCCATGCCGAAACGTTTCAACACTTTATCCAAGTAAGTACTTTGAATAAGTCATATTAGTCTCTTACTCCTATTTCTCAATATCCTTATCCCCAGAATATAAGTAGCTTCTCCGAGGTCCTTCATAGCGAAGCACTTCCCAAGCTAGGACTTAAACCCCTGCAAGGTTGGGATGTCGTTTCCTATGAGCAGTATGTCATCTACATACAATACCATAAAGCTAACTATACTCCCACTAGCCTTGACATATACACATGACTCATCTTCGCTTCTCGAAAAACCAAACTCTTTGACTTTCTCATCGAAACAAAGATTCCATCTGCGAGATGCTTGTTTTCATCCATAGATGGATTTCTCAAGCTTACACACTCTATTAGGGTGCTTTGCATTGACAAAACCCTCTGGCTGACTCATGTAAACATCCTCAACCAATTTCCCATTTAGGAAAACGGTTTTGACATCCATCTGCCATATTTCATAATCATGAAATGCAGCTATGGCTAGCACAACCCTTATAGATTTAATATTCGCTACTGGAGAGAAGGTCTCATCATAGTCAACTCCGGGAGTTTGAGTAAAGCCCTTCGCAACCAATCGCGCCTTATATGTGTGTACTTTCCCATCTATGTCGGTCTTCTTCTTGAAGATCCATTTACACCCGACCATCTTACGACCTGGTACATTGTCAACCAAGTTCCAAACTTGATTGTCATACATGGACTGAATCTCGCTGTCCATCGCCTCTTTCCATTTTGTAGATTTCGGGCCTGCCATGGCTTCCTTGTAGTTGTTAGGTTCATCCAAATTTATTAGTGTACTATCACTAATAAAT